CCCGCCCAATTTCCATCCACTTCGAAATCATCAATTTCTCAGTGAGAGGCCATTTCACTTCGTTAATGTCACGGGCGACCATCACATGGAAACACTTACCACGCGTAACAGATAAGGATATAGACGTTTCAACTGCACTTGAATCCGTCTTACTGCTTCCAGCAGGTGATCAAAAATGGCGGTTTTTTGACCGGTTAAAGCAACCGATGCAATGATGCACGTAATGCCCGCAATAGCAATGATAACAGTGAAAAGTACAGTGATAATGATTACTGTAAGTGCTATAGTGCCAGCAACAATAGCAGCAGTAATAAGCAACAAAACGATGACGGTGAGAACCAGCAACTGATAAGTAGAGACTGATGAAGCAGACGACGGCCCAGAATCAGAAACGCCGCTCCGACGTATTTCCATGGATTCCGGATTGCAGCCACAAAACAATCAATCTTCACAGCAATTCCAAATAACGGTAATGTAATTCGCTGAAAATTTCACAGCACTTCTGGCGGTGCCCCCTCTTTTCACTGAGACTGCCGTCGAATGTGGGACCAGCAAAACAACTTCTGCACCCATGCAACAGATCAATGGAAATACGAAAAAGCCCCTATTGGCAGAATCAAAATTTCGAAAATTCAGAAACCTGGCACGGGGCGATGTCTGAATGATGTAAATTTTTTTCCCGAAAAAATGCAAATTTCCAGTCATCTGTGGCACTCGGTCCATTACTGTCATCTGACATATGTCTAACACCGGAAACGCACACTCCGACAGCGTGACACTTACGAAATTACCGAGACGCAGTTGTGCGTCGAGTACAACGGCCAGACCAGGCCCCGCCCACCGAATATCCGTTCACAACCACTCCCTCGCTCCAGACAGCACTGTGTGCTACACATTCAATCGCCAAGCAGCACACATATACAAACATGTCATGCGTTTGATACATAAAAAGCGAAACGCGAAGAACGACATAGGTGCAACTGTGGTAACGGTAAGAAATGTATACGACTTAATGGACCGGAACGTTTTTTACCTAATTTAATAATTCTCATTTTTTTCATTCTTCCTTTCTTACTTTTTCCATCATCCTTTCTTATATTTTCCCATCATCATTCTTACATTTTTCTTTTAACCTTAAATAGCATACTTATGCGCCCTGTTGCTAAGTAATTGTACCATACAATATCCCCCGGCCCCTCTTTCGATGCGCATCAGTACCTCAGTTTAGCACTGCATTTAATTCTTTCCGAAAATGTAAACCGGCTG